TGGTCAGAACTCAAAAAGTACTTGGCCTAAAAGACCATCAACGTCTGCTCCTTTATATCCCGAAATTTCCACGCCAGAGCACAAGGGAGATGGTTGCAGGTGCCTTCTAGCAAGTTACTCTTTCCGCAGGGAGGGTGGCGGTGGGATAGGGGGACACCTAGGTCACGCAACTGCTGCGCTGCAAAGATTTTGACAGTCAGACTGCACAGAAAAAACATGCTGTTTGGAGGCTGGATGGATTTGGAGCCAGCGGGGAGGGGGCAGGGTCTCTGCTAGCCCGCATGTCCTCCCTGCAACTGAGAGTTGTCAGCAGGTGAACTCCCTGCTTTCTGAGCCCTGTCCACACCTCGGCCCCACCTGCTCCCCACGGAGGTTCCCCTCCCCTAAATCTCTCCCCCACACTGCCTGACCCTTCTCACTTCCCAGGACCTCAGCTCCCCATTCCCCTTGCAGAACCTTGGGAGGGGTCTTCCTCCCATGGGTCTCCTCCCTCCTACAAAAATGCCCAGAGGCTGGGCGTGGAAAGGACACTCCTGAACAACTGACCTTCCTGTGTCCCTCCTGTGAGGAGAAGGCTGGGGTGCTCTGCACCCCTTACTATCATCAGGTGAGTGGGCAGGCTTAGGGCCAGAGGACATCAGAGGGGTACGCCCTCTGGGAGAGGGCCAAGAGGCATCTCCCACTTGCTAGAAGCCTCACGCTGTGTGGGGGTTTCAGCCACAGTCGGACAGCCCAAGTGGACTTTGGGGATCTGGAACCGTCTCCTGCTTGAGGTAGCTGCCTCAGTACATCCCGTATCTTTTTTCCGGAGACATTTCTCCTGCGGGCCTCGTCAGTTTTACTGCTCTCTCTCGATGGCAACCACAAACTCCTCTGTCCTGAAAAGCCCAACTTCTGCGCTGCCACCACAAGCTTTGTGTACACTGTTAGGCGCCCCTGAGAGTCATCCATGCTCAGTTCCCATCTACCCCAGTAATGCCCTACTCTCCAGAGGAACTCTTGGCACCCAGTGTCCTTCTGGTCTACCACTTACTAAGTGGCTGATGCCACTTACACCCAATGGGCACGAGACCCCACACCCAGGGGTCCTTCCAAATTTTTCAATCTGTTGATTTTCTCTTTATCCCAGTCCCCACTCTGCACACTTACAAAGTTTAATGCCCGTGTTCCCAATTTCACATAATGGTTCTGCTTAACAGACAATGAAGTTTGCTGATAAATGACTACACTGAGAATTTGAAAATCCACCTCGATTAGTTACATAAAGGAGGAACAAAAATTTGGAGCGCTTATGAGACATGCCGAATAGGGTGCTAAAAGGCACGTGTTATTCAATTGGGATCATCTGTGGTGGGGTCATGAGCTTGTCCAAGTCCCACTCTCAAGGTGCTGCAGGTAGGAGCCCCACAGGTAATGGAGCCAAAATCAGTAATAAGCAAGTAGATATGAAATGCGGTGGCTTTTTTTTTTTTTTTGAGAAGAGGGGGAGAGAGGAAGGGGGAGACAGAAGTGGGGAGAGGTAGAGGGAGAGAGAGAATCTTAAGCAGACTCCACGCCCAGCGTGGATGGAGCCCACCATGGGGCTCACTCTCAGGACCCCGAGATCATGACCTGAGTCAAAACAAAATCAAGAGTCGGACGTTTAATGGAGCCACTTCAAAAGCAGTGACTTTCAAGGCACTCCCGGAAGTTGGCCAAAATTTTTAGGTTAGTCCACTGGTTGGGAGTACAGCTGCAGCTCTCCTGATCATCACATTCATCCCAAGATTTCTAGAGAACACTAGTTTGAATTTCAGATATTCAAATTTAGGCAATTCTGAGAAATCTCTGCTAGAAAGTGCTGGAGGAAAAACAAAACAAAAGAAACCCTCCTCAGCTTACTTTCTTACTGCCCCGGTTCTTCACAACCCTCAGGCTTCAGAGAGTGATTGCAAAGGAATTTTTTCCAAAGGACTGAACACATTTCTTCAGGAGAGGAGATTACATTTGAAATGATGCTTTAAAAAAAATTTCCATTTAATGACTATAGACAATTTGCGTTTTTCAGTTTCCAATTATTATTCTTAGCATAGCTACTCACTCACTTGCTCTAGTTTCTAAGCAAGTACTTGTACACACGGGTTTTTTGGTTTTTGTTTTTTTTTTGATAATGGCAATTGAAGATAAATGTCAGGAGTGAGTTCGGGGGGCGGGGAGGGGGGACCAAACTATCTTCTGCAGAATGTGCCCACCGTGGTGAACGTGCTCTATATTTCAGGTTACCTTGCGCCCTACAAGCTTAGGGGAGTAGACAGGGCCAGAAAGCTCATGTATTCTTTCCTCCCGTGTTAGGCTTTTTCCCCTTTCTAGCTGTAACTAAGTTCCATGGGCAACTCTTTTCTAGAAGGATCATAGAAGCTTTTCTCTCATCTTGTGGCTGGAAGTTACTCTTCACACGGAGATATGGGTAACGTTCAAGCGAGTCACACAGGCCGTGAGGCCCACGGCACCGTGGAGAACAGGTCCTGCCTCCCTGGGGGGCTCACACAGGCCAAGAGAGGTGTTGTCCAGAAGCAGCTAACTCTCGTCTTCACTGCTGTGGCCCTGGGGTGGACTCAGGAACCTTCCATCTTTTCCTGTCGGTGATGTTGTTCATTTTTCAGTTCACTTTCCTCTCTGTCCCATTATTTAAAAAGCTGTCTTATTAGAAATGTCCTTCCTTTGGGGCAACCTTCCTGGAACCTTCTCCCTTCACCGGTCTGCCTGCCGTGCACCTCGAGCTGGCTTTTTTTTTTTTTTTTGTCTGAGACAGGCACCAGTGATTTATTCTGTCCCCAGTCTACCCTGCTCGTTACACTGCTGGAGAACTCGATCTCAATTCACATTCTTATTTTGTAGCATCGGACAAAGTGCCTCATGCCTCCCCGATGGCTGTAGCCCAGGCTGGGTGCCCTGTCCCGACACTGGCCATCCCCCATTGCCTGCCATCCACGTGCAATTAAGCTTTTCCTTCACCTCCGCCTACTATCTTTGGAGGAGTCTGCAAGAGTATTTTCTTGAGTCCATCCTCAGCTTTGGGTCCAAATTAGAGTTGGAAGACCACCTACATCACCAATTTAAATGGAGTGTTTGGATTCTGTGTTGTAGGAATCTTGTCTTCCCCCTCCTGTCGAGCTTCTGGGAGTCTTAAAGTCTAGATCTTCAATCTTCAGGTCTAGGTGGGTCCTTGTGGGTTCTCCTTGTGGGTTTACGTGGTTTCTCAGGTCCTGATAATCCATCGTCAAGCACGAGCTCCGTGACTTGCTTCCTCCCACATACATTTCCTGGGCACCCACTCGTGCCAGACATCCTGCCATCGGGGGGGCTGAGGTTCTAGTGTAAGACAATTTCAGAGAGGGGGTGACCGGGGCTGATACACACTAGAGGTAACCGGATGGCAGCGCTGGACGTAGTAAAAATGGGCATCTCTGCCCGACGCTGGCACATGGTAACCACTCAGTTATTAGCTCAGTCTTTTGGAAACACAAAATGTGGTTATCTTTTTAACTCACTGTTCGGCTGAAGCGTGTACTCCATCTGGAACTGTTCCAGATTAAAAGAGACTGAGGAGACAGGACATCTCAGTGCAATGCTTTCCCCCAGATTACGAATAAAATCGCCGTCAAGGCCAATACTGGTACAAACAGAGAGGTTTTAATCTAGACTGTGTATCAGGTAATACAACTGTTATCAATGTTAAATTTCTGGAGTGTGATCATTGTACTGTTGTTACAAGGATGTCCTTGTTTCCACACACTAGGTAAGAGGCATCATAATGTGATTTACTCTCAGTTCGGGAAAAAAAAAATGTATCTATCTGCAGGGAGAAGTGTACCTGCGCGCGCGTGCACACACACACGCACGCTCAGAGTGGCACGGAGAAGGTGGCAAAATGGTAACAGGCAGAAAGTCTAGGTGAGAGGTACACGGATGGGTGCTCGATATACTACTCTTGCATTTTTTTTCTGTAGCTTTGAAATTCTTCAATATAAAGAGTGGGGTGTGGGGGGTGGGGAGGGAGCCAAGAAATAAAAGATAAAATACTTTAAAACTATCTTAACTGGTTTTTTGAAGCACAATCCTGAGAAGAAAGAAGTCACCAATCAGTTCTGAAACCAAACACAAATACTTTTTATTTATGGGATATCATTTTACATCGATTCCATTAAAACCTAAAACCAGTTTGCTGTACTCAAGTTAGGTGGCATAACAGTGTTTTAGTTAAGCTGGAGTCACAGGTTTATGGACGTAATGCAGATACCGACGACACGAAGCGTTCACAGTTACAGGTTGGCTGCTGTCCGTTTAACAGTAACCCCCAAGGGAAAGGTTTTTTTTTTTTATGATAAAAAGCAACCCACGTTTTGGTCTCATTTACAGACACCCAACATTTAGTTGGTCAATGGATTCTATACATTTATTATACAACATATGAAAGAATAAAAGATAAGGCTTACAGAGGTATTTTAGCAGTTTTAAGAATAAAAACCAAGGGCACAAACTAACTTGGAAAGCTTTCTGGATAAACTTCAAAAGCACTGTTAAAATGGAGCCGGAGAGGCAGCAGACGTGTGTCGTGAAATGAGAAGCTACAGGTTTGTCAAGTCAGATCTGTACGAACTTAATTCAGAGTTCATGCTTCGGGAAAGCTGCGCGCTACGTTACCGTGGGTGTTTACGGCAAATCAAATCACGGACTTTCTGACCTACCAGTAAACACCGAAAGGCTGTATTCCATGACGACAGAGTATTGCAATGGGTAGTTCAAGACACAGTGGCAGGAGAGAAGGGGTGTAGACAGGTAAGAAACAAAAACCAGAAGAAGGCACCCTAATTTCTTTAACATTAGCCAGTAAGTAAGTGTCTGATGACTGACTGCTCAATTTTATGTAACTTAGGGACATTTTTAAGAGAAAAGTATCTTATTACTATGCGTTTGGCCCCTTTTCCTCTCCCTAAAAATAGCTGCATAAAATCAAGAACCAAGGGCAAGCTCTCCACAGTCACAGAGGTTTATTTTTCAAGGCAGCTTAAAAATTATTTGGAGTCTTCTAAATATGCAAGATTATCGACACCTTGGAATACTTACTTTTATATTCTAATTCACGCATAGTTTTCCCCCTATTATCAAAATGTTCGCTGTGGATGAAATGTAACAGCTCCCCGTAACAATCCTTTTATGTCAGGATTAACTGTGCTTAGTGTTTTAAAAACATTCTCCAGTTCCTAACCCTAACTTTTAAAATAATTTCATCTATGATTTCTTTAAGCAAAAACTATAGTTGACCGAATCTAAGAACTGTTGCCTTTAAAGTGTGATTTTTTTCTTCTTTTTTAACTTTACCGGATACTTCTGAAAATGAATCACGTCTTTCACAAATTCAAACCTGCCTCTGGCCCCATCGCCACTGGAATACCAGGCACCTGTGGGAATGGAACCCCTTGCAACACATCGGTCCCAAGAGCTGTGCTTTGCCATCAACATCTTCTATTCTCTTCAGATATTAATTTGTGCAAACTGGTATGAAGTTGTAAGGTAGAGGCGAGTCTACAGTTCCTAAGCAAGGAATGATTAAGTCTGCTTAATCACTACAGAGTTTTCCACACTTCTGGTTTATTTCACAGCAAACCACACCTTTCTATTTGGTAGAAAAAGGAAGGGATTTCCTTCTACCATTATCATGATCTTGTATATGCACACACACTGTATATACATACAAAATTTTCTGTCTTTGGTGGTTCAGTTAGGGGAAAAAAATAATATGAAAATCTGAACACTGTTTGCAAAGAAACTGTGAAATAGTGGTCAGGAGTAGCATTGTCTGTGTGCTTTACTCATTTAATGCCATTTAAAGGTTCACATTTAATCCGAAAGATTTTTTTGGCCAGATTTTGCAGTAAGCCGAACCTCTTCCAATCATTATTCCATCATGGGTCTTGCTCACACCTACAGTATTCACTTGTTCAAATGCACCATTAGCTTTTTACTTGGTTTAAATCATTAGACTTTTATGTTTTCACAAAACTTTAGGGACTAAATTAGTCATTCAATAGCACCAGATAGTTGAGGGGAAAACATGTTATCTAGACATTTCCTCAAGAAGGGTAAGGCAAGGAAAAAAAAAAAAAAAGACACAAAATACAAACCTAAAAATACCGTCCTGTTTACTCTTGTTTCCTCATCCACATAAATAATGGCTATCACCTTTCTGTACAAATTACTTGGGTAATGAATGACGAGTGGCCCCTCCAGGAAAGGTCCTACTGTGTAATAAAGTTAGCTCAATGCTGGTGGTTTCGTGTCCACTGCCTGCAATGGACATCCTGCCAGGAAAAGCCTAGCATGAAAGAAAGAAAACAAAAGAAAACACCTCTCACTTACAGTATAGTTCTTTTTTCCAAAAAACTAGAAAATTAGACACCATGAAAGCTTAACTAAAAATCCAAACCACAACTGAAAGTGCTCTGCGGTCACAAACTGCCAGCAAACCATTAGGTTTCCGCGGAGGAGGCAAAATCAATGTTACTTGAATGGCACGGGAAGCATCGGCAGACCCAACACTGACTAGGAGAATGCAAAAGGAAAAAGAAGACCGTAAAGGAAGTTTACGAGAGTTTCAAACTCATTTAAAAAAAAGGTGCAATTTTAATTTGTTCATTTGTACCTATATTCAAACTACTACGGCTTTAACATCAGAGAATAGAAACCTACACCTTGCGTGGTGAAAATCATTTGTGGCATGTGGGACACGTCTATATGCTCAAATAATTGTAACTTTCATCATTTAAAAAAACGCTCATATTTAAGGAAACCAAATTATATTTGGCATATGCCTCTGGAAAAGTTCTGATTCCCACCTCCTTCCAAAAGTTGGCCTGTTTAACAATGAGGTTAATTCTGGCAACATTTGCTTATGGTAACAGCTGTTCTCTCGTGTGTTCTGAAATGCTACATTTGAGACCAAATAAAGTATAATCGGTTCATTTGAAAAAAGGGACTAGAAATATGCCACAAAAATTATTTTTACAATACAGTTTTGCAGAAATAATCTCTAGGTGAAGCTTTTTCTTTTTATACACATATACAAAATTTAAACAGCAATATACACATCATCACAGTGAGGACGTTGGCAAATTCACCAATCTGTAGTGTAAATACAAACTGCAAAGCAGCCTTCCAAGAGAACAATGCTACACAGCAAGCAGAGCTGGCCCATTCAATAGCAAACACCAAAACGTCCCTGCAAAAGGGAGACAGTGCAAGAAAAGCAGCATGCGCTTTGATACAAACAGCAATTTATGGCTAATGGTTGACATATCTGTGGTAACAGTGACTCTCTCGCTGCTATGCATAAAGTCCTAGGACATCTGTTTGTCTTTATACCACTCCACAAACTCGTCCAACAAAACTGGCCCTAAAGAGAGAGAGAGAGAAAAAAAACAACACGGCTATAAGGCTCTTCCCAGTGAGGAGGGTGTGCGAATGTACAGCGATGGGGGGTGGGGTGGGGGTGGGGGTGCGTGTGCGAGGGCGCCCAGCGCCGGTACTTACACGCTCCATCTTCGTCGTAGTTGCTGAGGTCAAGGTTAATTGTCCTGCTAAACTCTAGCACATTGCACCACTGGTCTTTGTTAATAACTTTATATTTTGATTGCTGATGGGAGGGAAAAGTAATATGAATTACTGACACTTACAATTAACAAATGGCACGGTTTCAACTGCTGTATGAATCAACTTAATAAAGTTCATGAAGGTTAACTCTTTCCATTTGAGGTATGCTAAGCACCAATCTGGGAGAAGGATGAGAGAGAGCAAGAGTAGAACTTAAGATGACAATTTCCATTAGAAAAATACCATGAGGGCTCAACACAAAATGACAAGCACATCAAAGAAACATGATTTTTATCCCTAGAAGTGAAATTTCTAGACTGCCAAAGCCCTTTTATTAAAAGGAGACACAGAGAGAGAGGTAATTAGCCTACTTCATAGAGATCTTGCAAGAATTAAAAGAGGTAATTTATGTAAAGTACTTCATTCAGTGTTTGGCAGAAAGCAGGTGCTAAATAAAGAGTAGCTCCCACTAATAACCCCTGCCCTGATCAGCACGCTCCCTGTCAAGCTGTCAGCGTCAAGCACACCCAGCAGCGAGTCACCCTTCGGGAACTCACCAAGGGCTCTCGGCGGTCTCAGCACTAGGTGCTCTGGCCGTTGGAAGAAAGTTACTGTTCTAATCACTCAGAACCTGAATCTCATCTTCAAAGTAATAAATTAGAAGACCCATGAAGTATTTTCCTATTCCTCTTAGACAAGAAATATGCCAGAGGCATTATTTTTTTTAAAGCACACGATTCCTGTATAAAGACTGAAAAATAAAACCCAGATTCAACAGTTTTTATATCCTACCCATGAAAACTCAGCAACATCGGGGAATAGCACGAGTAGGTAAAAAAGCTAAGAGAGCTGAGCCCCTGGTTTGGGGACGCAGACGCAAGAGTAACTCAAACCAAAGGACTGCGGTGTCCTTTGAAAAGAAAAAAAGCAAACTAACGTAAAAGAGAGAACAAAGCCCGGACTACAAGTTTGACTCTAAGCAACTCAAAGCAAACGCCAGTCAGAGACAGCCGAAGATGCTCCTGCAACTGTGCAAAGTCGGACTTGCTCGCAGCAAGGTCTTTCAGCTAAAAAAAACTCCTCTCGCTCGGACTCAGATTTCTGCTGTCCCCTGAGAACAAGGACCTATTTCTACTCGTTTTCCAAAGAAAGCTGACGTTTCATGGGATAACCAGAGAAATCAGAACGGATCATCTGTAGACATGGATTGGCGTGTAAACACCTCGTACAGTAAAACTAGTTTCCAGACTTGTCTTGAGGAGTCCTGGTTAGTGACGCTAAAAGCAGTTTTTAGTGACAGTCCTCAAAGAATCCGGTCAGCTGGAAGTTCTTCTGGACCAGCGTGTCAAGTGAATTGTAAGAAAGAGGGTGGCAGGAGGGAGGCCGGAGTCAGGGTAGGGCCCAAGCTTTTCTCAAAGACCCAGCACCTTCATCCTTCTGGGCAGAGGGTGCTTTGTAAGGGGTTTGGGTCTGGAGGGCAAGAAAGATGCCAAGATACGAGACAAGCCAAGCAGCTCAAACTCCCATCTCAGACACTTCCAGGTCCTACAGTATCACCTGGCATCAAAACCAGCGCCTGATAAACCAGCAGCTCAAAACTTTGGATCATTAATAGTTAGAGCAAGCAACAACAGTGAAGTGCTGGATTTTCTTCTATCGCAAACGTGAAGGAAAACTGAAACTGAGGGAGATATTGCCAGTTTGCCTCACACTTAGGTTGACCTAGCATAGTCAACCTAGTTGCCTAGTGGATAACAACACATGACAAGCTTCTTTTAGTAAGAAAGCAGATGGCTGTTCTTTTAACGAAAGTGGAAGTTCATCGTTGTACAGAGCAGGAAATCCTAACGGAGGGAAAGCTGTTAAAGTGGGGTGACAGAGAGGAAAGGACAGAGCTGTGGCTGTCTCGGATGCGCCTGCACTGGGAAGCCATGTGGCACATACACCCCCCGCCCCAGACACACCCAGAGAAAACCGGTGACTGCTCACGGACAGCGATTACGTCACCATCATTCCTACAGGCAGAAGGGGACAACACACAGAAAGTTACGTGAAATGGTTAAATAAAAGTATACTTGGTAGTTCTAAGCAAGCAAACATACATTCCATAAAATAACGATTTGGTACCTCTAAGAATTGGTGAAAAACTGGAAAAAGGGGCCAGATTTTTCCTAATAACAGTCCCAACATGCACTTGGCAGTGTTTATGTCTAGGCTGCGCTGGTCCTTTTCCTGTTTAACAAACAAAAACAAGGATGAGCCAGGTGCCCCCAAATAATAATTTCCAATCATCCAAATTTCTATTTCACTTCGACACAAAATTAGTAAACAGCTCATTTATCATACACCATAAAAACCCTGAACCAAGCCTGAGGTGGGGGAGGGGAGGTGGGCAAATGCAATGGAAGGGCTTAATCGGTTGGGTGCTGTATCAATTTACCATGGGAGAGATTCACGTCAACTGAGTAATCGCCCTGATGCAAAACCAATTAGTTATGTAGTAACAGTAGCTATGATTATTTCATGGGATAAAGAAAAATCTCCAACTCAATCACTTGCTGTGACGTTTATGATAATTGTCCATATCATAATTATTGACCCCAAAAGCCCACATCTTAACTAAATGGAATGCTAAAGGTTTCGATTTCCATGCCTAGAAATCAGGTTTCCTTAAGAAAAATCATGTTTTTCCAATAATTTTATTTGACTGTTTTTCTTGAACCTAAAAACGTTGGAATTAAATTCAACTCCTAGTAAATGCTGGGGCTCTGGAGACTCTGAGAGGATGAACTCTTCCACCCACCACTGGGGGGAACACGGTCTGGCCTACTGCAATCCTCCTTACCTTGGATCTACTAGTTGTGGAATCTCTTAGCGGAATACCCCTACCCAGTAGCCAAGTGAAAGACAACATCTTATAAGGAAACCAGAAAGGCAATTGTACATAAGCCTGAATATGGGCAGATTAAGTTCTATTCACTTCTACTTGCAATTCAAGATCCTACTTTCTCCTTCTCACCCTTTGTACAAGTTCCCATTCCAGAACTACAAGCAGGCCGCTTCAAGGTAAAGGGACAGCACCTGGGACCATAAGCGGTGACCTCACATATCCAACGCTAGCCTCCTGATGGTACTTTAACTACAGTGGAAGTGTGCAACAGTACTTCTCTACAAAAGAGAGAGTGCCTGGCTAGCCCACTCGGGGTGGAATCTAAATGTTCGCCAAATTGAGGCATGATGCTGTGACCACCACCGTCGGCCACGTGTGCAGTCACACATAAATGACCTTCCGATAAAATTGACTGTTACCTCAAGGACTCCGACCCTGGAGTGCTCTTTAGCACACACCGAATTTCTGGCCATGACACTGGATTTAAAAGTGAAGGACTTAAACAATACAGCAAATGCGAGGGCCTCACTTGACAACAGCAAGCAAGGTAGATGCAGATTCGGGAACCTATGCAGTAGGTCCGTCCTTCTGGTCCCAGTCGTATAAAGTGTTAACGACCGTTCACGGACAGACGAGGGCAGAGGGCTCCATGTCACCCCTTCTCTGTTACAGGCCACACAGCTGAGTCTGCTGATGGCGGGGGCCCGATTCCACGGTTCCGTGCAAACCGGTGGGACCTCCCTTCCACCGCTTTCTCTGCCTGTCTCCTGGCCACATCTACGGTCTTGCTCAGGGCTTGTAGGACTCACTCCCATGGAGAGGAGGACAGTAGAAAAGGTGCTCCCGAGATTGCCCACCTTTTGCCAACCACCTCACTGGTTTGTTACATTGCAGGGGCTCATCCTCCTGTGATGCACCCTGCAAGCAGAGGGGAACCTCCTCTTACCCGGTAACATAGGTGTGGCACACAGCAACAGCACACCACACTATAAAGCAATCCACAAGAAAATTTAAAAAATAATAATAAAATAACAAGTATTGAAAACACACGCGGCACCACAGGACCGGGCCCAAAATTCATTTGTTGCACAATAGCTCCAGTAGCACAGGGCCGACGCCACCAGCACTCGGCCAAAGCTGCCCCTCTGAGGGGTTTGTAGTCGTTCACTACACTTGAAATCGCTAGTCTTGCCTTGATAACGTTTGTGCCTTCTTCCAACATCAATGCCTCTGTCCCCATCACAATGGACATACACTAAGGTGACAAAAAAAGAAAAAAAAAGAAAAGAAAAGATACAAAGGACCTGGACAGACTCTTTGCAACAATATAATCATCTGACAAACTGATGATCATGAAGGATTTCAATGCATGTGTTTGGCAGTGACGCCAAAACATGGAGGAAAGGCATCAGACTCACAGGACCGGAAGCTGAACAGCACTCACTTACTCCTGCTTTGCAAGGGTGCCAGCCGGCGGCTCGCAATCACTAACACCATCTTCTGCCTAGCAAATAAGAGAAAGATATTATGGATGCACTCATGGTCTGAATGGTGGCATCTCGCTGATAACCAACATTGCCGGTGGGTGGACACGACTAAGTGCAAATGACCATGACTGGAGACACTCAAAATTCCTGCGAACAGCACAGTTGAGCGATCCCACGGCAAACATCTCCTAAACAGTAAAACTGGAGACACGCCCAAGGAGTTCTCAGACAATGCTCCTAATGGAAGTCTCTGCAAAAAGGATCCCAATCAAAAAGGAAATGAATCTTCTAGGATGCTAGGAGGTAGCCGTCAACATCACGGGCAGTGAAGAAGAAAAAAAAAAAAACACCTTAATGAATTCAAGGAGTATGGTGAAGACATAGAGAAGCTCCTTGAAAGAAATTAAACAGTACACTGTCAACACCGACCCTATGATCCTCCGCTCCTGGAGCACCAAGGAGCAAGGGACAGACTTCTGCATCTCAAGGTCAGAATCTACACAGGAAGGACCTTGAGACAGACGGTCAAGAGTCGATCGGCGTCCCCCGAATGCCCATCAAGGTTAAAGAAGAAGAAATGAGACTTCCCTTCCGGACTACTCCTGACCCAAGATGTGGGGGGTATGTATTTCATGAACTTTCATTTTCTAGGATAACAACTTAAAAAACAATTTTATTTTTCAAATAATAGGAACTGACACCCCCACAATACACAACTAGACTGCCTTGCTGTCTTCCTTAAACAGAGATTTTAAAAGAGCAGCTACAGATGAATCAGGCCTCTCAGTGATGGTACAGCCGTAAAACCAGAGGAATGTACTCTGAAGATCTGAGGACGTTACCTGTTGTACCTGGAATAAACGGATTCCTCAATCTAAAGTCTAACAACAGCTAATGCAAAAAGTGATGACATTTTATTAAGGTCTGATTTAAAGCTTCTAATATATACATATATAGATATACGTGTATTCACTATATCTCATATATGTATGTATAGGTATGTAAAGCGCCTTTGTTCATGTAAGACTGTTCCAGTATAAGCCTTCTTATAAAATGTCAAAATGAAGCATTTTTTTCTTAAATCGCTCAAATGACTTAAGTAACAAGAACAGAAACAAAGCAACTTAAATACATAAATATGGTATTAGGAAATTAATCTTCCAACATCTAGGTATCCAGATAATGCTGTATCAGAGGTGCCCAACTGGCTCCAGATGATTTCTAGTTTTCATAAAGTGTTAATAGCTTAAGACTTTGTATGTGAAAAGGGGAACCTTGAATTATTAAGATTATAAAGAAAATAAAATTCCAAAAAAAAATCCCAAACATTTTCAAAAGAGACTAGATCAACTCAAGAAACAATATATGTGACCACAATTCACAAACATAAACGGCAAAAACCAGTCCGAAGTTGGTACATGAAATCAAAAGGCCTAAACTGAAGACCTATGATACACGTTCTGCAATTCTCACCTGACACCACAGGGATTACAAAAGATAAAGAGAAAACGCGGTTCTCCTTAACACAGCTCCCTACGGAAACAAATGTAAGGTAAAAATAGTGCTAAAGAACTTATGAATCCTAATCAGGTTCAGTTTCTAAAACTGAAAATACAGTAAAATCAGTTTTTGGAGTGGGAGTCCTTTTTTCTTTAAAGAAAAAAAAAACAACCTCATTAAAATCAAGTAAAAAGTAAAAAACCCAAGACTGCCCTCTCATTGGGAAAAATAGAACTAAATAATTCTGCTCTTAGAACTTACCCAGCATTCAGTTACAGGTAACAATGTTTGCAAGGCAATTACTTAAATTAAGTGAGACTATTGACACTTCTTTTAAAACAAAAGAAAAAAAATCTGCCCACAGGCAGTCTTTCCTTGTCATCTTATTTGGCAAAGATTCTATTACTGTAAGCACGACTCTTGGAAAACAAGTCATTATTTGAAACCTGAGGTTTGCAGACAACCTACATAATGTCAGCACAGAATAATTCAACCACTATTCCTAAATCTATGGGCAACTTTTCTGGAGAGCTCGATCTGCACCAAAATCTCTTAAAGGTGCCTTATACTTAGACTCATTTCATACAATAACCCTGTCAGGTCAGGCACTACGATAACCCCACTTTATAAATAAGGAAACTGAGGCCCAGGGAGCTGACTTGAGCCGGCAAGTACCATGGCGCTCTCCCGAGAGGGGGTGGGGGCGGAGGCTGCCGGCCAATCCCTTCCACGAAGAGCTGCGTGACCCCATACCCTACGAGTCACCCCGAAGACAACACTGACAAGATGTTCGGGGTCATGACCCTGGGGTTGGAGGACACCACATTCTTCCTACTTTTGTCCTCACCCAGGACCACCTTCTGTTTTCTTCCTAATCCACCATGAAAACAGGAGAAAAAAGGGGAGAAAAAAGGGAGGGTTGGTGCGTGTTGGGAAGGGAGGCTGTGGGGGGAAACTAGACAGCCGTGTGCTTGAGAAGGGAGACTGGGCCGCGGGAGAAGAGGAAGTGGCCCCGACGACGGGCACACTCTGCCAGCATGGTTGCTGAGGAAGGCCTGGAAAATTTTCCTGAGCAAATCCTATGGGTAACCCTCATCGTCGTTTCTGGTCGTGTGGGATGACTAGGCGGCCCTTCCACTCAGAGGAAGGTGACACAGAGGCTTCCTCAGGCTCTTGGGCCTCCACGGAACCTTCCGGCACATCCTCCTAAAGCTGGACTTGAGGGCCCCCGCCCACTCTAGGAGGACCCCCCACACCTGGCTCCGCACCCAGTCCGCGCCCTGTCTCTCCTCGGCACCCAGGCCCAACGGCCTGCACTTCCCTGGGCTGAGACGCCGCTGCTCTCGGCACCCCCC